GGAACCTCGGGCGCGGGAACCTTTGGCGTTGGAGCAGCAGTTTCTTGGGGCAGTGCAGGAGCCCCAAGGAACCACGGAGGGTGGTGTAGGAGCTGCCGGGATGGTAATGAGAGATGCTCCGCCCCCACTTATCGATGAGGGAGCCGCTGGGGGCGGAGCATCATCTGCCGGGACGGGAATCGCTGGGGGCGGAGCCTCATCCGCCAGGTCGGGAGCAAGCGGGGGTGCGGAGCCTCATCTGCCGGGACGGGAATCGCTGGGGGCGGAGCCTCATCCGCCGGGACAGGAATAGCTGGGGGCGGAGCGTCATCCGCCAGGTCGGGAACCGCTGGGGGCGGAGCCTCATCCGCCACGGGAACAGCTAGGTGACAAAGCGTCATCCGCCGGGGGTGTAGCACCATCCGCTGCGGGATCTGTTGGGGGCAGAGCGTGGGGGGGGCGTCGTGTCGGCCACCAGGACCACAGAGAGCGGCGTGTCAGCTGCTGGGATGGGACCCTCGGAGGGCAGTGTATCGGCCACGGGGACTGGCACCACGGGGACTGGCACCTCGGGCACCAGAGCATGAACCTCGAGTGCCGGAGTAGGAACCTATGTGGGTGGTGCAGGAGCCACCGGGACAGGAACCACAGAGGGCGGGGCAGGAACTGGAACCACAAGGGCTGGTGCAGGAGCCACGGGGGGCGGAGCTTCCCTCGGCGTGGGAGCCGCTGGAGGCGGAGCATCCATGATATTTGGTGAACGAGAAGAGGAGTATTTTAACAATATTTTGAAGGGAAACTTCAAAGAGGAAGTATATTACTGGAAAGCAGCCTTTTGTTTGATTTATTTGAAAGACAAAAAATGCTAAATAATACAGATGATGAAATGTTTGAAATAATCACCATCATCATATGTAGTAAAGAACAGAACAAATTTCTAGCACCATGAAATATTTCACCACAAACTCGGGTGCCGGAGCAGAGACATTGGGCACGGGAGCCTCGGATACGAGGATCTCGGGCGCTGGAGCAGGAACCTTAGGTTTCACCTTTGGTGGTGGTGCAGGAGCCTACGGGACTGCAACCTCGGGGGGCGACGCATCAGCCACAGGGACTGGCCCCACAGGAGCGGGCACCATGGGGACTGGAACCTCAGGCTCCGTAGCAGAAACCTCAGGCTCCGTAGCAGAAACCTCGGCCGTGGGAACCTTGGGCGCCGGAGCAGTAACCTCGGGCACAGGAACTGAAGGGCGCGAGGATCTCGGGCACTGGAGCAGGAACCTTAGGTTTCACCTTTGGTGGTGGTGCAGGAGCCTACGGGACTGCAAACTCGGGGGGCGACGCATCAGCCACAGGGACTGGCCCCACAGGAGCGGGCACCATGGGGACTGGAACCTCAGGCTCCGTAGCAGAAACCTCGGCCGTGGGAACCTTGGGCGCCGGAGCAG